ACACAAGGAGCGGCATCATCATCAAAAAGTAATGACTGCGAAGATCAAGGCATATTTTAATCAGGTCCCTAGTTATTTAACGTTAGTTTTTGGATTAAATTATTCGTTGTCATCTACAGAAATGCGCTGATGACGACTTAACCATATGCGACAAATCATTGCCATGCCCAGGCCGTATAGTGCCAGTTCCCGATGGTCAATCGTTGTTGTTCACGGATTGCTTAATTCTCACCCAGTTCCTCTCTACTATGAAGAAATTTATTGAAGCCGATCATAAGATCACAGCAAGTCCGTATCTGATTTTCTGTTCTGACTTGATCAACCCTAGGACAAAATTTAGGGCAACTTTTCGATGCCGTGCATGAGGGAAGAATAGGATTTATGAAGTATACTTCGAAAGTACTTGGATCACTCTTGAAAACGCTTCTGCAAGATCCTGAACACAAAGTTTGTTCTTATCCTATATGATTCAAGGAAATTAGAAATTACCTCATAAACTCGAAATACTTAAAATTTCAGAAACTTTCGCATTTTGATGTTCGTCTCAGCGAATACCCCCTTGAGGAGAATACCGTCTCCGAACTCTGTCGAGCACTCCTTATTGGAATGAGCCTGGAGGACGAGTGAGTCAACTTATAACAAGAATACTGAACATAAATCATCTCTTTTTCAGAGGCTCTAGCGCTATAGACAATAATGATCAGAATGGTATCACACAAGATCATGATGCTGATGAGAATGCTGTTAGTGAGCGTGGCACTCCTGGAGTTCAAGATGTTTCCCAAATTGATCTTGTTAGTGATTCTTCACCACAATTACTTTCTTATCCATTTGTTCACTGCTACCAATGTTGCATCAGAAATTCTTGTCATGATCATCGTTATTTCGAAATCATACCGCCACTATTGGTTCTTTTTTAGGATGTTTGCCAAACATTCCTTGACCGATTTACACCTGATAAGGAAATTTGGGAACTAACGCCTGAGGAGCAGCTGGGTGTGCTAGGGCAGGTTCTCAATCGGGTTCTTGATTTGGGCTCTTTCAAGGTATCTGCATCTTTATTGTTTTTGGTTTCTTCTCACGTTAAGTAACGTGAATCTAGGAGTATATCAGCGATCAAGGGGACACTGGCCCAGTACAAACCTTGAAAGAGAAGATCAGTAAAATAAATGAGCAGGTTTGTTCAACTTATTTCTTCCCTTATCTTACTTCGCCAATTACTGGTCTCACATGTTTTTTTTTGGATCCTCATGTAGCGACTTTAGGTCAATTCTTGGCAAGAAGAGCTGAGTAAGATCCCCGAAATTGAAGAAGTTGTCGATATCACTCAACTCTCACGCTCCGAAGCTCGTGAGAGAGCAGAACGCCAGAAGAAAAGGGAATCGTTGGAAGGTAAAATTGAGGACAGCAAAGACAAATTGGAGGAGTTATTGGAGAAACTAGCACTCGAGAAAGTGATGAAGAGTCAGTCAAGGCGCATCGCTCCTCTTGGCCAAGACCGTAATTTTCGTAGCTACTATTGGTTTCACGGAAACAGTGGTGACGATGGAGTCTGGGTTCAAGATGTAAATGCTTTCACTTTATTACTTTTACTTAAATCAAAAATCTTTTGCCGTTCAGTTTGGAGTTACCTCATATGAAAAGTTTGTTCGCGCCTGCATCAAAGCAGGTAAACCGTTTGACGAAGAAATTGATATCAATGTAATGGATAGCCAACAAACACCCGTTAATGTGGTAATTGACCCAAGCGCAGAAATGAAAGCGGTTGAAGGATGGCCTGTTCTTGAACCTGAAAGGTACTTTCATTTTTTTAATTGATTCTAACTATTTATAAAAGTTTACTTCGCCAGTTTTTCCATTTTCTAGCTATACCGAGACTTGGTACAAACTTCCTGATGTGCAGTCGTTCGACGATTTAATAAACTCACTCAACCATGCAGGTTTAAGGGAGGGGAAGCTGAAAACGGTAATCAAATTATCCTACGAAATGGTTTTATCCTTTTTTTTCGATAGAAAAAACCAATACACATTTTAGTCTCTTATGAAGCAGCGAGATCTAATCGTAAATAGCATCATCCGCGGTAATGAGAGGGAGAGCAAGTCGTAAGTCTCAAATGCCTAATAGCCATAATTTTTTCTACTTGATAAAACAATGTCACCATGTTTCAGTCCTAATCCGATTGACGATGACGAGGAAGACGAAGATTTGTGCCCTGAATCTCTAACACCTTTACGCAAGTCGATTGTTCAGCTAGCATCTGATCTTAGGGACAGCTATCTGACGACGATTGCTAGTGTGGAAGCTTTCGAGGCAGAAATCACATGCTGCTCATCGCTTGATGAAGTTGTAAGTTAATATGTTGTTTTTCCAGAAATATGTAGTGCTGAGATCTGCTAGACAAGATTTATGTTTTATTCCAGAAAGAAAAACTATCTGAGCTTGCGGACAGCATTAATCCATCAGCGATAGTCCGACGTCTCAATATGAAAGTGGCAATCCAGACAGGTGATTGGTTGCGGAATTTTGGAGTATCTAAGTTTTTTTTT